CTGGCTGACCTGGGGCTGCAGGGTAGGTGCTCAATATGAAGCCACCCCATACTTACCGTGGCCTCGGCCTCTTCCTTAGGAGCAGCCCGCTTCAATTTCACGGGAGTAGTTCCAACAGGGGACAAAGGCGGCGACTTCACAGGACCCGAAGGGCTTTTCCTATGTGTTAAGTCATGGTTCTGTTTAGTGTCATTATTATTGTGCTCCATTTTATTGTTCATAGACAAACTGGAAAACAAAACTAGGGGTGAAACCCCTGAAGAGGAATTTGGTAATTTCCGAAAGGCATCCCGGGTAGAGCCTGTCTGGGCCGGAGGCTTGAGCCGGTCATCTGCTCCGTTCTCCGTCTTCTTCACTTTGATGCTCGTGCTTGTGGAGCTCCCATCGAACACAATGAGGGGTCTTTTCCTCAATCCGTCCACGGCAGTGCTCCTGAAATCAGAGATGTGCTCTTGAAAAGCACCGCACGGGCTGGCAGATCAGTGGACTGCATGCAGTCAGCAACAAGATTTATTGACCAGACTGTGGTAAAGGGAACTATTGGAAATAAGACTTCCAGGCCCAAAGAAACAATTTTCTAGTGCCTTCAAGTATAAAATATTTATTTATAAGAATCTTTCATAAAAACATTACTTCTAAAAATGTTGGATGAGATGTCCCTCATAGTCTTGGGAATTTGAGTGCTTGGTCCCCATTTGGTGGTGCTGTTTGGGCAGTTTAGGAGGTGTGGCCTTGCTAGAGGAGTCCTCAGTGGAGGAGTTCAGACTCCTGCCATTCCCAGTTTATCCTCCATGTCCCGCTGCTGCAGTTCAAATGTGAGCTCTCAGCTAGCTGCAGCCTGCTGCCATGGCTCCCTGTCTGGGGCTCATCCTTCTTTCTACAAACTGCCTTGACCTTGGTGTTGTATCACACACATAAAGAAGTAGGTAATATAAATATTAAGCAGCTCCACAATAAAAAAGAGCAGCTTATTGGTACTGCTATCCTGAACATGCAATCATAATCAATGATTCTTTTACAAAGAAAAACTATAAAATAGTATCAAGACTCCCACAGTGGTAGTTCACAAATAATAAAGCAAAACCCTACTGCAAATGGCAAATGTCTCTAATGTCTGGGCACTTTATAATCAGTGATTAAAATATTTGTACAGTTTTAATCATGAGATATGATGAGTCTTCATGTCCAATGGTTAATTAATTGGTGCATCTCATTGCTCTGAAGCACAGGCCTGAATAACGCAGGAAATTATGAATATTTGTGGATTTAAACACGTATAAGCATAGAATACATGGAATAAAAAAAAGGTAAAGAAGATTTAAAATAATAGCCAGCACAGGGCACTTTTAGTGAATGGAGCTTGTGGGCTCAGTATTGCTCTGGATGAATGATGGGGGAGTGATGAGTCAGAGTGAAGGCTGGATTCTAAAGATGCTTCAATAAGCTAACTTACTGTTTACAAAACAGAAATACTCTATACATCTGGTGTAAATGAAGTACATGGTGTTTATAGACCAAAGGAGTAGAGTTGTATTGTAAAACACAACCTTATTCTTCATTCAGGCATGGTGAGGCCTCCATGCACACCCTCACCTTTGGTCAGTTCCATTATCTGAGGGAAGGCATGTGTTATGTGGCCACAAAGCTCTACTGCAGTGGTTCTCAACCTTCCTAATGCTGTGATCCTTTAATACAGTTCCTCATGTGGTGGTGACCCCTAACCATAAAATGGTTTCATTGCTACTTCACAACTATAATTTTGCTACTGTTAGGAACTATGATGTAAATATCTGTGTTTTCCAATCGTCTTATTGGAAAGGACCCCCAAATGCGTCCAGACCCACAGATTGAAAACCACTGGCTTAGAGACCTGTGCCACTTGGAGTTTGCTCTGCTTCCTGTGTGGAGTTTGACACCCTGCCTAGGGCTTGCTACAGTGCTTCTCCTGTGACAGTGATGGTCTCTTAGCCCTCTGGAGCCATACGCCAAATAAACTCTTCCATAAGCTGCCCTGCTCATGGTGCTTTATCACAGAAACAGAAATGCAACTAATATGCTGTGGGATGGTCTTTCTGTATGCTGTGCATATGTGTTGCTACCATTGGTTAATAAAAAAGCTACTCTGGCCTAAGGTGGGAAATCCAAGAGAGATACAGGGAGAAGAAAGGTAGAGTTGGGCAGACACCATCCAGTCACCCAAGGAAGAAGATGCCAGCAGACCGGTAATGCCACGGCCACGTGGCAAGATATAGATTAATAGAAATGGGCTAATTTAAGATGTAATAGCTAGCTAGGAATAAGCCTGAGCCATAGACCAAATAGTAATTAGTATTAAGCCTGAGTGATTATTTTATAAAAACGGCTGCTGCCCGGCAGGACTGAAACTTCAGTCTACACGAACACACTGTGTCACCTGGGGCAAGTTACAGCATTCCTCTGGATCTCAGTTTCTCCACAGAAAAAAGAGTGAGTTCAACAAAAAAGCATACTCCTAGGTCCTTTCAACTATAATGCTCTGGTTCAAGATTCAAATTGTAAAATTTTGTGTGGAGTTGGGGGTCATATGGTGCTGGGTATCAAACCCATACCTTGCACACTGTCTAGATAAGTGTTCTACAACTGAGCTAAACCTCATCCCCCAAACTGCAAATTCTTAAAATAGAGCCAAAGATCTTTTCTAAACAATATCCAGGGGCTGTCATGAGAAGTTTAGCTTTGAAGGAAAGTATGATCAGCATTGAAAGCTTTGCTTATTACTAGGACAAGTGCCGGAATGTGCTAATAATATTGCTTGAATTTAAGAACCTAAACAAGTAAACAAAATGAAAGGTATATGTAACAGAATTCAGAGGCTTGTGAAAGTTAACACTAATGTGTAGTCTGTACTAACATGTAATCACTCCTGCTCAAAGGCAAGACTACCTCTGTATTTCTTCTCTCAAAAACTAAGAGCATACATATATCCAACTGCATTCATGCTTACTAATCACCTCAGTTAAGGGACTCACAAGGGATCGAAACCACTGATCAAGTTAGACTTACATCCTCCCTCTCTCCCCAGCCCTCCAATCCTTCCCCTACTGTTCTAGTGCATTGCCTATGACAGTGCCTTATGTAGAGAAGGTCCGAGTAACTGATTAATACCATCACTTGTTAGTGCAAACACTCAAGGATCTTAGAAGGCCATCCTCTCGATGCAGTCAGCAACGTTCATTAATCAAATGTAATTTTCTTTTTAAAAATAATTTGCTTATAGTTTTATGATAATTTTCCTGAAACTTAAGTCTTCTAAGAATTAAACGATGGTACCTGAATTTAGCTAATAGACTCTTCACTTCCACATCAGTCAAGTCTTACCTGATTCATCTTTTTCCTCAAAGCCAACAAGTTTTATTGGTTCTACCTTCAAAACACATCTAGATCCTAGGCCATCAAATTCCCCACTTTAGTCAAAACTATCATTTACCACCTGGATTACAGCACGGCCTTCCTCACTGAGCTCCTTGATACCATCCTTGCAACTCCCCATCTTAAATTACTTCTCGGTACAGTAGGGAGGGTGACTCTGTTAACACCCCGTCTGGGGGGTGGGGGGGACGACACCACCATCACTACTTCAATACCTTCTCACAGCTTCTCATCTCAGAGTAAGGCCAAACTCCCCCGAATCTACAAACTTCACTCGATCCCACAATCCCTACCATTCCTTCCCAGTAGATGCTTTACCTCCATCTCTTTCCAAACCTAGACCTGATACATTACAGGCAAACTCCTGATCCAGGTTCTCAGAGAGGGGAATAACGGACAAATCTCTACTTCTTACAGGTCTTTCTAAGTGAAATGTCACTCTGTAGTGAAGTAGTTGCTGACCACTTTACCAAAAATTGCCATGACCTCTCCATGGTTTACCTGTCTCCACAGCATACATTTAACTTAAGTTCCTCTCAACTAAAACATGAAAGCAGGGATGCCAGTATTGTCCGCTACAGCAATCATAGTACTTGGTGTTCAATTAATAGTTACCAAATGAATGTCTGTTTTGTTGTGTGTGTTTGTTTGTTTGTTTTTGCCTAAGTTTATCTGATGTGGGAAAAAAACAAAAACAAAACCCTTCAGTCATAAAGGATTAGATGTAACCAGGAAACCTGGAACCACTAGAAAGTACCTTTTGGTCTCAATTTTCACTTCATGCTGTTCTCTTCTCTTTTCCATCATCTTCCCCCATCTATTCTTTGGCAAATCCCTCTGAGGCAATGGTATGGCGTGCTGGACGTAAAGGTCAGTAAGGTTGTCCTTGTTTACTCTTACGTCATTCTCAACAGCTATGTTCTTCTGTGGGAAAGGAAACAAAAATCATCTCAAGACATCTTTCATTTAAAAACGCCCTAGCTGCATTACATGGTAAAAAGCATTATGCGTAAATAAATTATAAAACTATTTTCACAATTACATCCCTTTAAGAGTCCTAGGAGGTGTTATTAAATAGACTATTAAAGACACATTAAACTCTATAAAAATTAAGTTGGTCCTCATCTTAGAGTGGCCTGACTATTGAAGACTACTGCCCATAACTGTTAGCCAACTCTAGCGGTAGAGGACCATCACCACCACCACCACCACCACCACCACCATCTCAATCTAAGTGAACATGGGGCATTATCTGAGGAAAACAGATAAAAGAAAGCATATCATCTGATTCTGTCCATAAGCTACTTTGAGTATGACCATCATAGTCAAACTGGTGGGGATTTAAGATCTAAGTCTTACCCTGTGTTTTATTTCTCATGTTTCTTTAATGTGGTGGGTGGGTACTTGCTTTTTTTTTTTTTTTGGATGATGGGACTCAACCTAGTTCCTTTAAGTATGCCAAGCACTGCCTTTACCATGGAGAACCCCCCACTCCAACACACACACACACACACACACACACACACACACACACACACACACACACAGAGTCTCCTGTACAGCTTTTTTACATGAGCTTATACTACTGCAGAAGAAAACTGAACTCCCCATTCTGATGACAGTCTCAGTACACCATGCCCCACCCACCACATTTTCACCATTCAACTCATTGTCCAACAACCCATGCCTAAATAACCCCAATCTCTCTCATTACCCAATTTCCTCTCAACCTCATGAAGCACAATTATGCAAAACGCACAAGTAAAAGCAGGAGAAATGTATGCTTTGTTTAACTGAAACATCAAGGCCAACTGACTGGTTTGACTTCATTTTTTTAAATATTAAACCATCGTATTCCTCTTTCATATAGGGGATTGCTGACTTCCTGAATTCAGTAAGGGGTGGGTGTACTCTGAAACTCTTGGACAACATTCCCAGAGGACTTCATCTGTTTGGAAAGCACTGAAGAGTTGGCAGCGGTGCTTAAAAGTGCTGTCAATGGGTCAACGGCAAGAGCTGGTTAAAATGCGGTTTTAGGGCACATGCGGAACCTACTTAATGAGAAACTGACGGAGCTCAGTATACGTTTCAATAAGACCTCGAGAATCCTGGTGTGCTTAAAAGCTTGAGAACCACAGGTTAAAGGTCATCTTTAAAATAACGTATGGAGAACTTCAGTTAATTAGAGAAAAGATACGGTAGTTAGGACAAGAAAAATCTCATAGAAAACCAGACGTGCTACGTAAAACCCTAGCGAAACTTTCAGCCATTTGGATAAGACGGATCACATTTTTCTTTGATGTTTTGCCTATTTCACACCAGCTGGGGAAAAAAAGACAAAAAGCAAGCACGCCACACAGAAAACCAGGTGCCTCAAGTTCGCCTAACGGTGACCATGTCCATAATGATCTTAGGAAGCAAGCCCATCTCTCTGGGACTCAGTTTCAGGCTCTCTAAGGGAGGCGAAAAAGCTGTGCAACAGATTCTTTCTCAGACGCTCTGGATCCAGCCCTGACTGCACCAGACTTCTCCCCTCCCTGTCTGTTCTCCCCAGTCCCTCTCTTCCGGAGGCCGTTGCTTGCACAGAGGCAGCGGAGGTCGTCTGGGACGCCCTCTCCGAGCTAGTGAGGATTTTCCGGGGATGCCAGCCACTCTTTCGACGTTTCCTTTGGGGGAGATCCGAGCGAGGTAAGCCCCACCGGATCTGTGTGGGCGGGGAGCGGCCACGAGCCTCCCGCAGGCCTGCCCGTCCTCCCGGCTGCCCGTCCGTCCTCAGTCGGGCCCGAACGCCCCACCTGCTCCAGGGTGAGGAGGAGGAACTCCTGGGACAGCAGCTCAGGGTGCAGCAGCAGCTCCGCGTCCGTGCAGCTGCGACCGCCCACATCCCCCGCCATGGTCGTCGCCAGGAGACCCCTGGCCGGCTACCCACAAGGCACCGCGGCGGAAGCGTCCCGGAAGTGACATACGGGGGCGGGACTCCGGTGTCACTCGGCGCGCCCGAGACTTGATGCTTTCTGCGGAGGGTGGAGGGTGGGGCTGGTAGCCCAAGCTGACGCACCTCGGTCTAGAGGACCGACTGGGGTGCGGAGCTCAGGAGCAGCCGGACCCGGCCGCGCCGGAAACACGGAAGGCGAAGCAACCCGAGCGAGCCGCCATTGGTCGCACCTCCTGTGACGTCCCATGGCAGAGGCCGCAGGGATTCTCCGGACTGCTTGGAGAGACAGAATTTGATCAAGAGGGCAGATAGCCCTGACCCCGATTGGCATGGTCCCGTCTGAAGCCATCCTTCTTTTCGCACTTTACGATGTCTCAATCGTTTGTTGCCTAATCTCCCTTCTGCATAAAGTAAGCCCAATAAGGCCAGACCCTGGAATTCATTCCCTGTAACCCCCGCTCCTCGGACATAATGAGCGTCAAGTATTGTTCCCTGAAAAGATACTTTAAACCAACCAGCTCACAAGTGAAAAATAACAACCAGCCGAGAAAGTGGTAGCGACACAGTTACTCCTCAGAACAGCCTGGTGTATTACTAGAACGCTTGTTTCTCGATTGAGGAAAATGAGGTATAGAAAGGAATAATTGGAGATCACAGACTGACAGTGGCGAAGAATCAAGTAACTTGCCTCTGCGCTTACTAATAATTACAATGAAGTAACAGTTTTTACTTTAAACGAAATATTGTAGGCTTCAACTGTGTTCTAATAATTAGGAGAGAAATCTGTTCTGCTCCTCTTTTATCATTCATGGGAAAGAGAGCCCTTGAGTTTTGCACGTTTAAAAGTTGCACTTCATACGTGTTTTGAGCACATATTTTGTATGTTCTATAATATATCGTTTTATTGGAAACCGTTGCATTGTCTATGAAAATATGAAGAACTAGGAGGCTGCCAAAAAAAAAAAAAGTCCTGGAGGAAAAAGTGAGATGTAAAATTAGGAATGAGATAAAGCTGAGAGACATCTTGCAAATTTTTGTAGTTGTTTATGTGATACTTTGGGGGTAGAAACAAGCTCAGAGCCGAGAGGAAAATTGAAAGTTGGGTACCTAAAAAATATTCAACCCAGTGCTTTTATTTTTGTCTTTGGGAAGCTAATCTAAATGAGATCTAGTGAGCTACCCCTGAAATGAGCAGTCTTAAAGCTGGACTGAATGTTCTGAATTGGAATTAAGTGCCTTAGCTTTGTAACATTACTATGCTATTCTATATTCAAATTAACTTATATTGTCATATAATAATGAAACCAGTATGGGTGGCATATTATCTCCATTTCCCTCACTGGGAGGTCATCTTAGTGGCTAAAGTAGCTGTTCTGCAGAGAACCTGTACTCGAAACCAAACCCAGTTCTCATTGCTGCAGTCATTGGGTGAGGTGGTCTCTTAGCCTCAGTTCCTTCTTCAGGAAGCAGCTCAAGAATGATCCACATGGGGATAATTCATGAGGCATATGTACTTGTGAAGAAGCTCTGAGTGATAGTAGAAAGCTATTGGTCATAAAATGCAAAAAAGGGAAAGGGGGTTCAGTTTAGGAGTGGGCCAGCCATGGATTGTAATAACCCCATTCCCACTGTCATGGAGGACAAGGACTTCCTCTCCCTTACAGCTTTTATCTCTGAGATGAAATTAGAATTGTCTCACAGTGTTGTAAGCACTACATCTAAAGTATGTCAAATGCCTTTCCAGTTTCTTCCACCTGGATGGTTGTAGCCGGTTGATTGACACCGTGGGAGAGATGTAACAAGAAGGCAGTGTATGGAGCAGCAAGTTTAATGGTTTAGAAATGCGGTTCCAAGCTCTTGCTGTACTACTTATCCTCGTGGCTCTCTGGACCCATCACCCAAGCTGAAGCTTCAGACTTTTCATCTGCAAAAAATTTGTGACAGGTAAGATCTATCTTTCTCTCTCTCTCTTTTTTTTAAACCTCTCCTGGTACCCAAAGTAACCTCAGGGTAGGATAAATTGTAGTTTGAGGAGAGAGAGAGAGAGAGAGAGAGAGAGAGAGAGAGAGAGAGAGAGAGAGAGAGAGAGAGAGAGAGAGAACTGTAACGAGTTTCATATACATCCTTTCTACCTCCAAGGGAAGGAGGTTCTTGTTGACAATACCCACCTACTCCTACCTAGGCAGAACCTCTATGGAGTGGTGCTCTAGGGAGTCTACACTTTCTCAACTGTGTGTCATCGGAGTTTATTTCTTAGGCAAGTGAGAAATCCCCAGGATAGGAATTTTTAAAAAATTTTTGGGTTCATACTTCAAATATATCCAGGCAGAGGGGCTGCTTCAAAAAGGTTTCAAGCACACGACAGGACAAAGCTACCAAAACCAAGCTCCAAGCCAGGAGCCAGGAATGGAAAGACCAAAAACCAGTTACCAGAGTGGAAAAAGACTACCTCAGGCAGTGAGGACCTCATGCCTCTGGCATCTCCTCTTGACATGTGTATTTCCAATCTAGATCCAGACCAGAGGAAAATCTACCATGTTAGTGAGAATATTGTCACTATAACATGTTGGGAGCTTCAAACAGAAATAAGGTTTATTCGTTAACATTCTGATTTGGTAACTCTAGAGAACAGAGACGAAGCCAAGGGGAACCAACTAACAATGGGTCTCATGTCACCCCAGTAGATGGTGACTAAGGCGAGTTCCCTGTATTTCCATTCATTCCCTCACCAGGGTCACTAGTATGTATCATGTTGTATTTAGTTGGGTCTCAATAGGTTTTTGTGGCCAGGATGATGACACATGCCTTTAATCTTAGCACTTGGGAGGCTGAGCTTGAGGCAAGTCTGGGTTATACAGTGAAACCTTGTCTCAAAGCAAAAGTAATAAATAAAAATATTTGTAGGGTGAATAACTCAGGAGAAAAATATTCTCTAAGAACTTTGGTTATTGATTCTGTTTGCAGATAAAGTAATACTGTGGTGGTATTGTGTTCCCCAAAATATTGTGCACGCTAATAAACTTATCTGGGGTCAGAGAACATAACAGCCACAATATTAAACATAGAGGATAGGCAGTGGTAGCACACACCTTTAATCTTAACATTCCAGAGGCAGAAATCCCTCTGGATTTCTGTGAGTTCAAGGTCACATTGGAAACAGCCAAGCATGGTGACACATGCCTTTAATCCCAAGAAGTGAGCCTTTAATCCCAGGGAGTGATGGCAGAAAACAGAAAGATATATAAGGCGTGAGGACCAGAAACTAGAAGCATTTGGCTGGTTAAGCTTTTAGGTTTTAAGCAGCATAGTTCAGCTGAGATTCATTCTAGATGAGGACTCAGAAGCTTCCAGTCTGAGGAAACAGGATCAGCTGAGGAACTGGTGAGGTGAAGTAGCTGTGGCTTGTTCTGCTTCTCTGATCTTTCAGCATTGACCCCAATACCTGGCCTCAGGTTTGATCTTACTAATAAGACCTTCTAAGATTCCTGCTACATAATACTTAAGATATTATGCTATAAATATGTATGTATTTATTTAGTCTATGGGGTTTTTTTGCCTGCATTTATGCTTGCACACTTTATATGTACCTGGTACCCATGGAGGCCAGAATAGGGCGTTGGATTTCTTGACAATGGAGCCACAGATGGTTGTAAGCTGCCATGTGAATTCTGGGAATGGGACTTGGGTCCTCTGCAAGAATGGCTAGTGTTTTTTAACTACTGAGTTGTCTTCCAAGCCACTAAAAATATGTGTTATTTCTCAAAAATATATCTAAGCTTAAGGCAAGGAGCTTCAAAATGAAGGTAACAGTTAATGCAGTACTTCACATTCTGGATTTGTGTTTTATCTATTAGTATTTATTCCATTGTATAGTTTTGGCTTCTTTGTTAAAAATTACGTATTCATAAGTGTGTAGATTAATGTCAGGGTCTTCAATTCAATTCCATTGGTCCGTATGTCAGTTTTTATGCCAGTACCAAGCTGTTTTTATTACTATAGCTCTATAGTAGAGCTTGAGATCAGGGATGGTGATGCCTCCAGAGGTTGCTTTATTATACAGGATTCTTTTAGCTATCCTGGGTTTTTTGTTTTTCCATATGAAGTTGAGTATTTTTCTTTCCAAGTCTATGAAGAATTATGTTGGGATTTTGATGGGGATTGCATTGAATCTGTAGATTGCTTTCGGTAAGATTGCCATTTTTACTATGTTAATCCTACCTATCCACAAGCATGGGAGATCTTTCCATTTTCTGATATCTTCTTCAATTTCTTTCTTCAGAGATTTAAAGTTCTTATCATACAGTTCCTTCACTTGTTTAGTTAGAGTTACCCCCAAGGTATTTTATATTATTTGTGGCTATTGTAAAGGGTGATGTTTCTCTGATTTCTTTCTCAGCCCTTTTATCATTTGTATATAGGAGGGCTACTGATTTTTTTTTTAGTTGATCTTGTATCCTGCCACTTTACTGAAGGAGTTTATCAGCTGTAGGAGTTCCCTGGTAGAATTTTTGGGGTCACTTATGTATACTATCATATCATCTGCAAATAGTGAAAGTTTGACTTCTTTTCCAATTTCTATCCCTTTGATCTCCTTTTGTTGTCTTATTGCTGTAGCTGGAACTTCAAGTACTATATTGAATAGATATGGGGAGGGTGGACAGCCTTGTCTGTTTGGCATTGTTACTGTTTCTCATTCCTCAGAACATGGTAAGGATGCATTTACTTACGGAAATGACTGGTTTTCCTATAACCCCAGTGTCTTAGTGTGTACAGACACATTGAGTACTAGGTGGCTTCCAAACACCAGAGACATGTTTCTCACAGTACCGGAATCTGGGAGATCCAAGGTGCTGGAGAATTTGGCATTTAGTGAGCATCCATTCCACAGAGATGGTGACATCTCACTGTGTCCTCATGTGGCACATGGCAGAGGGGTAAAGAGTTCCACTTCTCTGATAATCCCACCCATGGGCTTTAGCCTAAAGGCTTTACCTCTTAATACTGTTATACTGGGGAATATATTTCTGCAGGAATTTGGGGACATAGATACATTAGGATCAAGGCACTTTTCTCACAGGTCACTTATTTTTTTCTCTTGGTCTTCAGCTCCCAGCACAGTGCCTGCTACACAACAAGAACTATTAAGTTTGTGCTGAATGATTCTTAGGCACTTCCTACTTGAGCTCCATGGTCACTGAGCCTCTAAAGCACATTATTTTTTGTTTGTTTTTGTTTTTTGAGACAGGGTTTCCTCTGTGTAGCTTTGCGCCTTTCCTGGAACTCACTTTGTAGACCAGGCTGGCCTCGAACTCACAGAGATCCACCTGCTGAGTGCTGGGATTAAATGCGTGCGCCACCACCGCCCGACTGCACATAATTTTTTTACTTTATGATTTGATTAGGTAGGTTTTTCTTGCACACACATCCCTAGTTTAGTGGTTTTCAAAACAGTAAGCTCCCTGAGACAGAGTCTGACTTAGCCTCTGGCATAGCACTTGGCATGAAGGAGCTGCCGAGGAAGTAGTTGATTGAGTAATAACTGAAAATGTATTTTTCTAGAGTTAACTACAAGTAATGAATATGTGTATATATCATTAAATGAGCTAATATTATACAATAAAAGCTCTTAAAACACTATGTTTACTTTTAAAATCATAAATATAACTTTGCTTAACCTGGTCTTTAAAAGTGATGTCCAAACTGTTAGATGTTAGCTAACCATCAACCATATTAGATACATTCTTAAGAATGTATACACGTTAGAATGAGAGAATATTAGCATTGAAACCCTCTGGAGTTAGTAACATTGCTGTGTGGTAAAGAGCATCTTCAACAGGTTCCTGGTTTCACCCCAGCATCACTAGTAAGTGTCTTTTAAAGATACTTTAGTGCATTAATGTTGAGCATTAAATCACCCATTTTAGAAACTGGCCAAGTGCTTTCCATATGCAAGAAGACAGAACAGAGAGCTTGATAGAATTGGGGTACACAGCATAAGACAGAGGATACTCAGTTTTGGACGTGTTGGCAACTGTTGAAGCATGCAGTTGTATTTATGAAATGTGTCATTTTCTTTAGTCTTCTGTCAGAACACATCTTTTCCCATCCTATAAAATATCATTATAGTGTTTGATATGGACCCAGGGCTTTCATTTGAGGGGATAGCAATGACTCAGCAGTTAAAAGTGCTTGCTGCTCTTATAGAGGACTTGAGTTTGGTTCCCAGCATCCACCTGGCTTACAGGCATCTGTAACTCCAGTACCAGATCTGATGCCTTCCTCCAGCCTCTGTGTGCTCCTGTACCCACATGATGCACATACATACATGCAAACAAAACACTCATACATATACAAGTAAATTTATAAATTTATTTGAAAATCAGGACACTATATTTGCTTTTAAATGGACCCAACAGAAACAACGAAGAATTTAATTAGCTTATGAAGATATCTAAGCATGTTTCATAGTCCAGGCATTCCCTAAAGGGAGCTGTCATTTGTGGTGTAGATGAATCAGTATGTCCCAAGAACAGATATTCCAACAATAGAGCTTGCCATTAAAAAATCCTGTGGTGAGCCTTCTCGTAAAGAAAATAATTGTTTCTGATTTACCTTTGTTTTGATAGTATGCATCTTCACTCCGTATCATCTAGAGGGGAATGTGAAAGTTGCTACACAAACTAATCAATGGAACTTATTCATTTCTTTGGTTACAAACACACCGTGTTATTGAATTCTGAGTTCTTGCTCAGACCCTTACTAGCATGAGAATCTGGACAAGTCATTTACCTCTTTGCCTCAGTAAAATGGGGAAATTGACGTTTGTACCTCATAAGGGTACAACAAGGTATAAACTGCTGGACAGCGCTGGACTCAGGGTCTATAACCAGTCAGTAGAGGTCCCCTCAGAAGCTGGTCTTTCTAGGCCCTCATCCCTGCGCGCC